TTATTCTCTCTTATCCTTCTTTCCTAGTGCATTTTTTCATCACCATCTCCCCTTCACTTGAGCCCCAATGGGGAGAAAGATTCAGTATAAAGTAAATAAAAACAGGGCCAAAAATTATCTAAACATTTTTCTTTAAACTTTTTAGATTAAGGCCTGTTATGAACAGAAAAGAGATGTTAAGTGTTGAGATGTTGCAATACAAAGTAACATCTACTAAATCAGTGGTCTTCAACCCATAGGTTAGGAACTTGCTGATTTGAGAGCTCTGAGCTGAGCTGTCTTTTTTTGCTGCCCTTTGAAAGGACCTGCTGCATAGAGCATAAGTATGATGTGCCATGCATCCATGCTGAGAAGATCAGCAGGATAGCCGGGTAAAGTCACACACTAGAGGAGAGGGTTCTTCCATGGCTCTGACCTCTGGTTTGTACCTTACTACTATATGGGTGCGTTCAGACGTGCCGTTTCAGCCGGCATAAACTGCTTTGGTTGGAACCGGAGCAGTTTGATCCGGAAGAAACCCGATCACACTCACCTCTTGACTGCGCAGCACATCGCGATATGCCCATTCACACGTCAGCAGTTTTTAATTTTTTTTTTTACATTGTGCGCATGCGCATAGCCATCCATCCACAGAGTTGAGATCTTCGTGCAGGTGCAAAACACCCCGTTCCGAAAAGCGTGCCCTGAAGCGAAGATGTTTCTTTAAATTTTTACTCTGAAACTGGCCTCCGTGAGGTTCCGAACTCGTCTAAAGCTTTACACTAGGCACTTTTAAAAATTACTATTATGAACGATGGGGCAAAGCTTCGCCCAAGCGCACATCGCCTACTAAAAAAAATGGCAGCAGAAAAGCGGAAGCCTCGGGCTTCTGAACGGAAGTGGCTAGACACCGGTGGAGAGTGATCAGACGGGGATAATGTGTCTGGAACCGGTGCACTCAGGATACCACCACTTGAGGACCTAGTAGCAGAATACAACAGTTTAAAGGCTGTTTGCAACGGTTAGGGATGGAAGGCAGATGTTCGCCGTGTGATCGCTTGTAAGTACACCGATTCCAACCGGCATCTATACTGGCATAAATGCCCTGTCTGAACGCACCCTATATCTCCTTGTTCTCAGTTGGTGCTTCCAGTACCAGCTAGGGATGTGCAAAAAAAAAAAATTCGGTAAAATTCGGATTCGGGTTTATTGGACCCGAATTTTTTCGGGAAACCCGAAAAAACCCGAATATCTATACCGGTAAAGCATAGATATCCGAAAATTTTCGGGAATCCCGAAAAATTCGGGTCCATTGTAACCAATGGGGCCATTGAAGTCAATGGCAAAAATCCTCTTGAAACTTTGCGGGGGGCTGGGGGGGAGGGGGTTTGGGATAGAGGCTCCAAACTTGGAGGGTGCTCACTGGAACCTCTTCCCAACATGCCCACCAAATTTCAAGGCGATTGGACAAGGGGGTACAATTTTATGGCCCCCCAAACAGGTTGCCCCCAGATCAGCCTTCTGCAGTTTATTCCCGGTTTGCCGCCGAAATTCGGCGGCAATTCGGCAACATTGTATCATATGGCCCTTGGAGTTGGAGGCTCCAAACTTGGAGGGTGGTTACTAGAACCTCTCCCCAACACACCCTCCAAGTTTCATGAAGATTGGACCAGGGGGTCCAATTATATGGGCCCCCAAACAGGTTGCCCCCATCCCATTGTTCTCTATGGTGGGAAAAAAATTACATTTTTTCCCACCATAGAGAACAATGGGATGGGGGCAACCTGTTTGGGGGCCCATAGAATTGGACCCCCTGGTCCAATCTTCATGAAACTTGGAGGGTGTGTTGGGGAGAGGTTCTAGTAACCACCCTCCAAGTTTGGAGCCCAGTCAGTGCCCCAAAACCAGAACTAGGTCAAACCAGAGAATCTTTCAAGACAGCAGCAGCAGCCACTAGCCCACTACAGGGAGCAAGTGCATGCCAGCCAGGCCCCAGCAGCAGAAGAACCAGAGCAATCTGCCACCTGTGCCAGGCCAGCCAGGTTGCCAATTGCCAGTCAGTGCCCCAAAACCAGAACTAGGTCAAACCAGAGAATCTCTCCAGACAGCAGCAGCAGCCACTACAGACTGAGGGAGCAAGTGCATGCCAGCCAGCCAGGCCCAGCAGCAGAAGAACCAGAGCAATCTGCCACCTGTGCCAGGCCAGCCAGGTTGCCATGCCAGTCAGTGCCCCAAAACCAGAACTAGGTCAAACCAGAGAATCTCTCCAGACTGCACTGGAGCGGCAGCACACAGGCTGAGGGAGCATGTATGTGCATCGCCAATGCCAATGCCAGCCAGCCAGGCCCAGCAGCAGAACCAGTCCACCACAAGTGTGCCAATGTGCCAGTGCCCAAAAAACCCCAAAAGCAAAACAATCTCTCCCCTCTGCAGTGGCAGCGGCCTACATAGGGGAGCATGTTTGCTAATCGCAGCCATGCCCAGCTGCAGAACCAGAGCAATCTCAACTTCCCCCCATCAACCTCTGTGCCCAGCAATGCAGGAGATTCACACAGAGACGTCTCCCTTACAACCCCAGAGGCCCAGAGGCCCCTCCTCCATGACCAGAAGCGCTATTTGCCTAGCCTGCTTTGGAAATCCAAAGGTGGGCTGCCGAGAGGCTGAAAAGGAGTTGGGAACTTGGGAGTCGGGCTTGGTCCCCTGTTCAGGGCAGGGGACAGCAGCAGAACCTGTGCACTGCACGCCCCTCCCCCAACCACACCCAGCCCGCCTGCTCCATGGCCAGGAGAGACTGTAAGGAGAGATGACTACTAGTCCGCTCCGCTTTGGAAATCCAAAGGTGGCCACTGGCCACAGGCTAAAAAAGGATTGTTACCATTGACCAACCCCCCACTCTCAACAATTTGCCCAAAACCTCCTGCATTGCTGGGAACGGGGCGGGGAGACCCACAAGCCAGCCGCTGTGTGGCTCGGGATGTTTTTGCCTGCCTGCCCCTGCCCGGTGGGGGTGGAGCTATCTTACTTCCTTGCTGCCACCTTCCTAGAGGTAGCATACGTGGGACCCCTCTGGATGATTCCCCAACCTGGGAATCATCCTATCTCAATCTTTGGGCACCACCTGGAGAGTTGGCAGCCACTCTAATTTGGGGGCATCTGGGTTCCTCTGGCCTCCCTTTGCCTCTCTTCAGGTGCGCTGAGTGGGGATTCGCACGCACACCCCTAGTGATTGCTCACGTCACTTGCACAGGCCCTGCCTGCCCCCCCCTTCATTTATACTGCAGAAATCCTCAGGTTTGGACTGAGTCCAGTAAGTTGGGTGACTGGCACAGAGGTTGTTGGGGGGAAGTTGAGATTGCTCTGGTTCTGCAGCTGGGCATGGCTGCCATTAGCAAACATGCTCCCCTATGTAGGCCGCTGCCACTGCAGAGGGGAGAGATTGTTTTGCTTTTGGGGTTTTTTGGGCACTGGCACATTGGCACACTTGTGGTGGACTGGTTCTGCTGCTGGGCCTGGCTGGCTGGCATTGGCATTGGCGATGCACATACATGCTCCCTCAGCCTGTGTGCTGCCGCTCCAGTGCAGTCTGGAGAGATTCTCTGGTTTGACCTAGTTCTGGTTTTGGGGCACTGACTGGCATGGCAACCTGGCTGGCCTGGCACAGGTGGCAGATTGCTCTTGTTCTTCTGTTGCAATGCTGGGGCCTGGCTGGCATGCACTTGCTTGCTCCCTCAGTCTGTGGGCTGCTGCTGCTGTCTGCAGAAATTCTCTGGTTTGCACCAAGTTGGTCTGGGCACTGATTGGTTGCACCTTGGCACAGGTTGTGGGGGGGGCAGATTGCTCTGGTCCTGCTGCTGGGCCTGTCTGTCTGGCATTGGTAATGCACAGACATGCTACCTCAGTGCTGCTGCTGTAGAGAGATTCTTTGGTTTGAGCCAAGTTGTGTTGGTTTTGGGGTTTTGGGCACCCAGTTTGGCGGCACAGGTTGTGGGGGGGCACTTGTATGGTTCTTCTCTGCTGCAGTGTGGCTGGGGCTGGCTGGTCTGGCAAAAGTTTGCAAACATGCTGTCCAAAACAGTTTGCCCCCATCCCTCCATTGTTCTCTATGGTGGGAAAAAAAGTAATTTTTTTCCCACCATAGAGAACAATGGGATGGGGGCAACCTGTTTGGGGGCCCATAGAATTGGACCCCCTGGTCCAATCTTCATGAAACTTGGTGGGTATGTAGGGGAGAGGTTCTAGTAACCACCCTCCAAGTTTGGAGCTTACCCACTCCAAGGTCCATAGGATACAATGTTGCCGAATTGCCGCCGAATTTCGGCGGCAAACCGCGAATAAACTGCAGCAAGCTGATCTGGGGGCAACCTGTTTGGGGGCCCATAAAATTGTACCCCCTGGTCCAATCGTCTTGAAACTTGGTGGGTATGTTGGGGAGAGGTTCCAGTAAGCACGCTCCAAGTTTGGAGCCTCTACCCCAAACCCCCTCCCCCCAGCCCCCCGCAAAGTTCCAAGAGGATTTTTGCCATTGACTTCAATGGCCCCATTGGTTATAATGGACCCGAATTTTTCGGGAATTTTTTTCGGGATTCGGACAAGCTCATAAATTGCTAATTCGGGATCCCAAAAGCCGAAAAAAGCCGAAAATCGTTATTTTCGGCTTTTTTTTCGGTTCGGGATCCCGAAATGCACATCCCTAGTACCAGCTTCTTGGTCTGGCCCATGGTCCTGGCCTTGATACTAGTGATGTAATAACTCGTTTCCCCTCTTTGTTTCACATGACTTTGATGTCATGAGACTTCCTGTCATGTGCTTCCAATTCAGTGAGAACCAGGCTTAGTGGGTCACAACTGTGGAAATGTTAAAGACGGCTATGCTAGAGGTTATGGAGGGAAGGAGGGAGTTAAATGTGAGGTCAGGGTTTTTAGTGGTGCCATTTGCTGCAATGTCTTGTTTAGTGCTTTAATATGTGTTTAAAGAGCTAGTGATCTGACACTAGAATGTTTTGTGTTCTCTTAGCAAACTTGACAGGTCATGTGGAGAAGGTGGGCATCGAGAACTTTGAACTCCTGAAAGTTCTTGGAACAGGAGGTAAGAATTATTTTTCTTTGTTAACGAGATTTCTGAAAGTATGTTAAAAAAAGAATTATATTTTAGAGACTGAGATTTGACAGTCTGGGAAAAGGGAGCATTTTGTTTCCAAACTAGCTGTCACCTCTGTTGGACAATTAACCCCTTGAAATAACTGCTCCATTGTCAGTCATTTCTGTACATACCTTCTGCTATTATGTCTGCAAGAGTTCAGTAGAAGCCCAATGGGAGTTTTCCTGACAGGTTCAGTGGTTTCCTTATCTCTTATAGCTCCATCTGTATGTTACAGCTTCTGTTGGTTGTAGTTACAGCTCCCAAATAAATTGCTGTTTTGCTTCTCCATGCCAGGGATTCCTAGTGCTAGGTTGCAGATTTTCTATGCATATTTATTCACAAGAAAGACAACCATGAATATAAGATGACCCCTCGTCATTAAAATGTTATATGCAAAATTTTACTATTGGACATAACAGTAACTTAAAACCTGGAAAAAATCCTAGTCTTGCATTTGAGTAAATACAATAGTAGGAACAATGTAGAATACATTAAAAGACATCCTACATATTACAGCTACCTGTACATTCAACAGCATTTTCATGCAGCTACTGAAGTATAATCTAGTAACCTGTCTTACTATTTTAGGATCTAATCATGGGCTCTATCTACTGCTCCATCCATAAAAGGCGCTGGCTACTGTGGATCATTGTCTTGCTCCCTTCTCCTCAGCAGTCCCTTCTGACTCTGACGGGAGCTGTGCTTCCAGAAAAAGGAGAAAGTGTGGTCCCCCCCCCTTCCCACTCCTCAGTGCAGCCTCCCAATAGCATGTCTATGTAGGTCCTGCAACCCTGAGAATCAATTTTCCTGGGTCTGCTGGAGAGAAGGGTACATGGTAAAGATCTGTATTAATTTGGCCCTTTCCATTGCTGTATAACAAGGCACTACGACAGCATTTCTGCTTACCTTCCCCTCATCCCTCGCCATGCAGTATGGGGCCTTTTTGCCTTCTACTCCTTACTATTCTGCAGTGCTTTAAGCCTCATTTAAAAATGGTATTTTGTGAGTATAGTCCCTTATAAAAGGTTCATCCCATCCTTCTTCAAATGGCAGTATTTCACCAAGTCTGATAATATTTTCTCCTTTCTGTGAGAAGGTTCAGCTTTCTGAGTCACATTTCAGACACTGTGAATGTCTTCAGATGTACAATACTAAAGATCAGTCAATAACCATTCCAGTTTTCTTCAGAGGATGTGTTTGAAGAAGAATTTTTAAAAACATGGATGAGTGTAATTCATACTAATTTATCTGGAAGTCCAGCATGCTCTTGTAATTTCAGCTTCTCCCTATATTGTGTATATCACACAGCATAATATCCTTTCCTTTATGAAGAAATATATGAGGCTATATTAGTTACCTTTCGCAAAGACTTGTAAAAGTAATATGATTCATGAATATTTCGAAGCACAAGCTATGTTAAAAATCTTAAGGGGATTTTTAATGTTACCCAAGATTTTGATAATGCAAGGCTGAACATGCTAAAATTTGCATACGTGTCCTTGTAAGCTGAACAGTTTTATCACTTCTTAAATTGCAGTCCTCTCTGAATACTCAGATTTATTTAACTGGCAAACCCCCTGAACACCATTTCTACAAATATTTGTTCTTTTACCCCATCAACATGATATCAAGATACCTTTCAAATTAGAGCCTGCAATCATTATCTTTCCAGCCTGAAAGCATAATGTTGTACTGTGTCAGCTATGCTGCCGTGATGTTTATGGGCAAGAGTGCATCTTTTTGACCTGTGTACCAACTGTTACCGCATTCGCATATCTATGACCTTGCTAGCTCGCTGCCTGTGTAGTGTCTATCCATCTATTACCCGTGGGATAAGTTTCGATTCCCAGCTTTGGCTGTTAACAGCCTGGGGCCCCATTCTCCCACACACGGGAGTCAGGCCAATTGGCCTAGGAGTGTGGGGGGGTGCGTACGAATACCCTATATCCCATTATACTTGTAGGAAAGTAGCCATTCCTAACAGTGACGATGTTACTGCCTCTATAGCTCTTACATTAAAGTATAACCTTATGTTAAGTGTGTACTGCTTTGTTTGGCTGTGGAACCTGACATACTGGTAATAAGTTGTTTGAAGGCTCTGATCAGGGCATTTTGTGATTGTGAGGGTATTATGGCAACTGAAAATTGCAATTGCGAATTATTTATAGAAATTTTTTTTTTTTTAGTTTTTATCTCTCCTGTTTTTCATTTTAGCTTATGGAAAGGTGTTTCTGGTGAGGAAAATAAGTGGCCATGATGCTAGCAAATTGTATGCAATGAAAGTATTGAAAAAAGCAACAATAATTCAGAAAGCCAAAACAACCGAACATACAAAAACTGAACGGCAAGTACTGGAGCACATTCGACAGTCTCCATTTTTGGTTACTTTGCATTATGCTTTCCAGACAGACACAAAGCTTCATCTCATTTTGGGTAAGTTTAAAATGATACACTTTTATGTTGTAGGCTTAGTATTTTCAAGTTTGTATTGATAAGAATCACTGACTCTGCAGAACTGCAGACCATGAAGAACAAAAGTAGATAGTGTTTAAACAAATTTCTGCCCTTGTGGACACTGACATATTTTTCCCAGTGCCATTAGGTTGCCCTCAGCAGCATTTTGATTTCTGGATCATCTACACTAGTTCAGTTATATAACCCACATATAAGCATATTTTGTACCCCATAACACATTTCACAGAAGTGTGTACTGCTGAAGCTCTTAGGCTCTTATATTTGTATGTGTGTGTTTTCCTTCAGGAAAAGTCACTTTAGGAGAGATCATTTTTGAACAGAGAAAAAGAAACATTGTGGTGGACCAGGAGTGCTTAAAGCCCCTCCCCCATTCACTGTTTCTGTGTTCTAATCTTGTCCCCAAATCACTTCATCCCCCTCAAAATACAGATCTGTCTGTGTTTGGGAAGCTTTTGGGTAGGCAGGAGAGGACAGGTTGCAGGAAGGAAGTATTCCTACCCCTTTATCTCTTTTACATTGAAAAGTGCTTCCTCCCAGAGCAAGTTTTGCTGTGGGGGAAGAAGAGTGTCTGGCTAAAAACTTTTGCCTATAATGTGTAGTTATGGGGTAATAACGGACCCTTAAGGACTTAAGTGTAATTGGATTGGGCCACTTTTGAACAGCTTCAGCTGCAGATGAGTAATTACAATTTTAAGGTTATTGTTGTTTGTTGTTCTGATACCTATATTGTTTGTTGTTCTGTTATACCTATGAAAAGTCATTTACAATTTTTATAAAACCACAAATACCATTTTGTCTATATTTTAGATTATATTAATGGAGGAGAACTTTTTACCCATCTTTCACAAAGAGAGAGATTTACTGAAGATGAAGTACGAATATACATTGGAGAGATTGTACTGGCACTTGAACATTTACACAAGGTAAAACATTTTTCATCTTTCCTTAAAACATTATCGTTATTTAAAAAGTATAGCGGACAAGGAAAAAGACTTATCGACCGAATTGTTCTAAACAATTGAGCTGGGCGTGAGCTCGCGGACGCAATCGTGGCCGCATAGAACTCCCTCTTTGCAGCTTTGACTGTCATCTCATAGCATCTCATAAACATCCTATAGGATGCTCTTGTTGCTTCGTCTCGAGCCCAACGCCACCGTCTCTCTAGCCATCTCAGCTCTCGCTTCATAAGCCGCAGCTCTTGGGAGCAACCCTAGAGCAATGGTTAAGAGGGTGCCTGGGAGTGATCTCGTTGATGGCTGCAGAGAGCCAGCTATGCCAGTCCCCTACAAGTGCATCTAATGAGCCGCCAGGGGGCATCGGATCCCGCAGAGCCATCAGGAGCTGCACTGGGTCCACTCGCCGCCTTCACAGGGTTGAAGTGGACATTCAGGCAGGCCCTCAGGGCATGGTGGTCCAACCATGGAACTACTGAAGCGGTAATCCGGTCCACTGTTACCCCCACTGCAAAAATCAAATCAAGCATGTGCCCAGCCCGGTGAGTGGGAGTCATTATATATTGGGAGAGTCCTAGTGCCTCCATGGATGACACCAGATCTGCTGCCTGAGTAGAGGTCGCGTCATCAGCATGGACATTGAAATGGACATTGTTGCATGCCAATTGAAGAGCATACTTAAACTTGCATGCTGATACTTTATTTTGTTGTTTTCCAGTTGGGAATTATCTATCGCGATATAAAACTTGAAAATATTCTTCTTGATTCTGATGGCCATGTGGTGTTGACAGACTTTGGTTTGAGTAAGGAGTTCATTAGCGATGAAGTAAGTATCTGCGTATCCCTTCTGCATACACAGACATAGGACATTTAGTCTAAATACCTCATTATTTGTCCTTGTAATCATGTGGACTGTTATATTTTTTCTGTTCTGTTCTACTAATGATGGTCTTCTCACAGTATTCTGCTATCTTCCACGGATAAGTTTACAGTGTGCTTAATTACATACATCTGTAATTAATGTGTTTATAAAATCCTATTCCTTGTGTTAATGTGACCAGTTTAGAAAGTTTGCTAGTACTGTTTCTCAGCTGCTTAATTACTGAGAGACAGTTTTGTGTAGTAGATAGTGTATCAGGGGTCAAAATCCCCATTCAGCAGGGAAACTAACAACATCTGAGTTACAGCACTCCCCCAAAACGGTGCCCCTATGAAAGTACTTTCAGAAAGCACTTTCCTGGGGGAACCTTTGTTGGTGGGGACATAACTCAGAACCTGTAAACCCAATCCCCACCAAACTTGGAGGGCCAGTGGAGGAGAGTCAGCCAGCGAACCCCTGAGAGTTTGGGGTCTCTATCTTGAACAGGATCCGTTCTATATACTCCTGAACCTGCATTTTGATAGGTGCAGGTTCAGGAGTATATGTTTGATAGGTGCAGGTTTCAGGACAGAGACTGCCTGAAAATGTGTTCATTCATGAACCTCCACAAACAGCTGGAAAGCTTGTGCTGGTTGACCTGCTACAAACTTCACTTTGTGATCCACGAACTGGCCAAAATTAATCATGAACTTAAGTTCGTGAGCCAGTTCATGTACGTCCCTAATGGTAAAGATCTCTCAGATTGAACCACCAGGTGCTCATTAAATATTATTAAAATTTGTTGATGTTTTTAATTAGAGAACTTGATGTATTGTGTTCAGAGATTCTTTACAAGTGTTATTTTTATGTTCATGAAAATTAATGTTTGCTTCATACGTCATACTTTTTGTGCATATATATTAGAGACACTAGAGCAGGGGTGTCAAACTCATTTGTTATGAGAGCGGGATCTGACATAAATGAGACCTTGTTGGACCAGGCCATGTGTGTCATAAAAGGTAATGCCAGGAAGCAGAGATAGAAACTTTATAAAGGACACAAACACAATTAAATATTTTTTTAACTTTAAATAACACATTTCCAGTGAGTTCAACACCACTGCACTAGAGCATGAGTTTTCAAAGTCAGGGTTTTTCAAAGCCATGTACACAACATAGGCCCCTTTAAACGTTCTAATGTTATCTAATATAGGCCTATGATATGACCTACCAAATGTGATGCAGGTATCAGGCTTTAATTATACAGGTTTTGTGCTAATATTTTGTCTGCAGAAAGCTAGCTTCCTTTTCAGAGTTCACTTATAGAATAATTATAGTTTCTCTTCACTGTTAGGATGCTAGTGCTGCTTTTAAAATGGTGAATGGTGAGCCTACTTTTCTGCAAGGAATAAGTTTGTAAAACTGATGTTTTTTAAAAGGAGATAATAATTGTTTTCAGAGGCCACCTTGCGCTGAGTAGAAGTGTTAGAAACATTAAGTAAGCTTTCCTTTTTATGCTTCTTTCCTGTGACTCTGATATCAGTTTGTGCTTTGGCTATTTTCATGTGGTCTATAAGTTTGAACCTTACCTACCATTCCATTGTATTTGAAAAGTGTGCCTTGCACATGCAAGTTCACACTTTGAATAAACCTTTGTTGGTCTTAAAGGTGCCACTATTTGTTCTACTGCTTTGGCAATTTGTTTTGCTTTTTTTCAGAATGAGAGAGCATATTCTTTCTGTGGAACTATAGAATATATGGCTCCAGATATTGTCAAAGGAGGGGAGACAGGACATGACAAAGTATGTTGTCTCTAGCTTCTTTTGTCACTGAGCAATTTCAGATGAAATGGAGTATGTGAATTAGACATTTCTATGTGTCTTTCAGGGTTAAATGGAAGATATCGTGGTTATGTTATGCTGAAAACAGTGAATAAAAAAGGTTTTCAAAACCGTATGAACTGAATAGATTTTGTTTAAATGGCCAGTCCTCTGATTAGCATAGTTTGCAGTTAGCACAGTTACAGTGCTGTTCTGGGCAGCCACCCATTTGACTGTTGCATGCTAGTGCTGGCCCTTGTGGCTCTTACAGATTATAGGGTCATATGATGCCATGCAAAGGACCATTGGGGACCACCCCCGTCACTTCAGTGTAGACAATGGCCCTTGTGTAATACAGCTGTATTGTGCAGGAAGTAAAGGCCAGCATAACAGTCTCAAAGGCAGCTGCTGGTTCTGTGCGTGGAATTGGAAGCTAGTGCTGATGCAAGCAGACAAACTGCCCCTTGCTCTATTAATATGATTTTATCAGAAGAAATGCTAATAGGACCAAAATTTAATAAAGTATTAAAATAACAATACACATTACACCAGCCAATCTTACTTGCAAAATAGTTGTGTCTTTCAAATGAAAAATAGAATTATCATCTATAGTATTCTCAAATGTAATAAGTGATTGTACTAAATAAATTCAAATACTTCAGCGTTGCTTGATGTCCCAGCCCTTCCCTCTTTTTGTAAATACAGTGTAAGTTTAGAGTTTTAAGAAGTTAGAGACATAATGCTATGGATCTGATAAAGTATAATAAAATAGGCTGTACTATGGTGTGGTCCTTTCACCCGGTCCCTCCATTACTTTGCAGATTCCTATAGTATTTCTGATGGCCTTACCTGTGTTTTGAAAAGATGGTTTGAAGCTTGTTTCAGAATTCAGGTTAACAGCAAATTGTATAGCTGATGGGAAAGGATTTTTCTGGAGGGAGGAGAAAGTGCTCAGTCCTTCAACAACATTGCATTTGCACTGGCATATACTCTTAGCAACTATTTTATTCTTTTTATCAATATATCTAATTCTCAGTGTGTCTAGATCTGTGAATACTTAAATCCAGAGACTGGAGCCATAAACAGAGTAAACAGATCTTTCTACAAAGCTGAAAAATTACCCCAAGTTTCTAGAAAAAATGGAATTAAAAAAACCCAAAACCTTGGGGGGGGGTTAACCCCCCCCCCCAATAATAGAAGCAGCATCTGTAATTTCAAGAAATGAATGCCCTCAGTGGCCATTGCTAGGCAACCACAACAGTATTTCTAAGCCTTGTTATGGGGCAGTAAAGGTAGGAGGATGAAGCAGGGTCCTTTCCAGGCCTGTTTTAGCCTTTGTGTTTGCTGGGTGACCTTGAGCCACTAACACACTTACCTCCTAATCTACCTCAATGGAGGAGAGGGAAATAATGTAAGCTGCTTTGGGTTTGCAGAGGGGAGAAAAGCAGAGTATAAATGATGTAAATAAAACTGAAGATGATGGAAGCAGATTTTAAAAAGTTAGTTGGTGAGTGAGAAGGAAAGAAGGAAGGCGGTAAAGGGGAGGATATGGGGAATGGCAAGGAGAGCTAAAAAGGGAATCATGTGGGGAAAGGAGATGGGGAGGGGAAACAAAGTTGCCACCTCAGATCCTTCAGGTTCCCTGCTAGTTACTGATTTGTTTTTCCTTTTCAAATTTTTATTATTATAGAACAAAAGCTTAGCATCAAAGATTACAACATTTAAAAAAAGAGAAAAAAGTTGTAGATTTCCAAAACTGTAAAATATTGAAGGCTTTCATGCAAGTGTCCAGGAAGAAATTGATCACATACCTAAAAAAGATGCGCTGATAATCATAGGTGGGAAACAAAGTAGAATCAGAAAGTTTGGGGTAGGAACATGAAATGTAGCAGGAAAGTGGCTCATAGAGTTCTGTGAAGACAACAAGTTATCCATAACGAACACGTTTCAGGCAAAGGAAAAGACTATTGTCAAAACAAGACTAGTAGCTGATTTTGGTACAGACTGTGAACTGTTAATATTGAGAATTAGAATAAAGCTGAGGGAGAACACCAAAACATTCACAGTCCCAAAATACAATCTAAACAATAGCACCAACAATATTCATGAAGAGTTTAAAGACCATGTAAAGAACAGAGAGTTCCAATGGTGATGTGAGTGACGGAATCCTTAGAAGTGTAGCTACTGGCAACAGCCGTTGTGGAAGGTGACACTGGTGGAGGATCTTTTGTAGACAGTGGCAGTGCCACTTCAGCTAACCTTGGTTAGTACTAGGCAGAAAAAGGCAATGGTAAACCACTTCTGATAATCTCATACCTCAAAAACCCTATGATACAATCCGAAACAAAAAAAGATATAGTGCTGGAAGATGGAACCCTAAGGTTAATTGTCACTCAGGCAGCTACAGGGGAAGAGCTGAGGACAACTATGACTAGCATTCTTAATGGCATGACTGGACTAAAGCCGAAAGGACATTCAGTTGTTGATGTGAATGGATACAAAAGGAAAGTCCAAAGATATCCAACGTGTATAATAGGAACATGGAATGTGAGAGGTATGAATCAAAGTTTGAAATCATAAAATGAGAAACTGAACATTTAAATACTGCAATCCTGGGAGTGAGTAAACTAGTGGACGAATCCCAAAGAAGGGCAATGCCAAAGAATGTTCAAACTATCGCACAATTGCACTCATATCACACGCTAGCAAGGTCATGCTCAAGATCCTACAAGCTAGGCTTCAACAGTACGTGGATAGAGAACTGCCAGAAGTACAAGCTGGGTTTCGAAGAGGTAGAGGAACTAGAGATCAAATTGCCAACATTCGCTGGATTATGGAGAAAGCAAGAGAGTACCAGAAAAACATCTACTTCTGCTTCATTGACTATGCTAAAGCCTTTGACTGTGTGGATCACAACAAACTATGGCAGGTCCTTAAAGAGATGGGAGTACCAGACCACCTCACAGGTCTCTTGAGAAACCTGTATAAGGGTCAAGAAGCAACAGTTAGAACCGGATATGGAACAACTGATTGGTTTAGCATAGGAAAAGGAGTACGACAAGGATGTATATTGTCGCCTTGCTTATTTAATATATATGCAGAGTACATCATGCGAAATGCTGGCCTGGATGAATCACAAGCGGGAATTAAGATTGCTGGGGAAAAGATCAACAACCTCAGATATGCAGACGATACCACTCTAATGGCAGAAAGTGAAGAGGACCTAAAGAGCCTCTTGCTCAGGGTAAAAGAGGAGAGCGCAAAAGTGGGCTTGAAGCTCAACATCAAAAAAACTAAGATCATGGCATCCGGTCCCATCACTTCTTGGCAAATAGAAGGGGAAGTCGTGGAAGTAGTGACAGACTTCACGTTCCTGGGATCCCAAATCACCGCAGACTGTGACTGCAGCCATGAAATTAAAAGACGCCTGCTCCTTGGGAGGAAAGCGATGGCGAACCTAAACAGCATGATAAAAAGTAGAGACATCACCCTGCCAACAAAAATACGCATGGTCCAAGCAATGGTATTCCCAGTAGTCATGTATGGCTGCGAGAGTTGGACTATAAGGAAGGCCGAGCGCCGAAGAATAGATTCTTTTGAACTATGGTGCTGGAGAAGACTCTTGAGAGTCCCTTGGACTGCAAGAAGATCAAATCAGTCAATCCTAAAAGAAATCAACCCTGACTGTTCCCTGGAAGGCCAGATAATGAAACTGAAGCTCAAATACTTTGGCCACCAAATGAGAAGGGAGCACTCACTGGAGAAGACCCTGATGCTGGGAAAGATTGAAGGTCAAAGAAGACGGGGACGGCAAAGGATGAGATGGTTGGACAGTGTCATCGATGCAACAAACATGAAACTGAGCAAACTTCAGAGGACAGCGGAAGACAGGAGAGCCTGGCGGGATCTAGTCCATGGGGTCGCGAAGAGTTGGACTCGACTGTGCGACTGAACAACAACAAAAAGTACATTTTCAGTCAGAAAACTACAAGTGTTTTCCTTGGGGAATGACAAACACAGAAGAAATGGATTTGCTGTAATAGTGAGGCAAGATATAGCACAAGTAGTCGGGTTATGATGGAAAATCTGACTAATATCAGACTTCATGGAAAGCCTATCAATATCACCATTATTCAAGTTTATGCTCCCAACTACAGGTGTTGATGAGAAAGAAATGGAAAACTTTTTGCAGATGTCCAGGAAGAAACCGATCACATACCTAAACAAGATGTGCTGATAAACAGAGGTGACTGGAATGTAGAAAAAAAGCAGAATCAAATATTGTTGGATGATTTGGGCTAAGAGCATGAAATGAAGCAGGAGAGCAATTCATAGAATTCTGTGAAGACAACAATCTGTTGATTGCGATCACATATTTCAGGCCAACCAAACAGATTATTGTATATGTGGTCGTCACTGGAAGACCAATATAGAAATCAAATAAATTACATAATTGGAAGCAGATGATGGAGAAATTTTATTTTATCTGCTAAAACAAGGCCAGTACCCAATTGTGGTACAGGCCATGAATTGTTAATATTGAAAAGTAGAATAACACCAAAACATTCAGAGTCCCAAAATATAATCTAAGCAACATAAGTTTAAAGGCCTTGTAAATAACATCTTTGCATTACTAAGTTCAGGTGAACTATGGGTTGAAACCAGAGATATTATCAAGGAAGAATGCATGAAGACTATTCCTGCAACCAAAGGGAAATGAAAAACCAGAAAGGATGATTGATGAACCTCTTAAAATTGCTATAGATGAGAAGCAAAAGTAAAGGGTGACAGAAATAGAATGAGAAGTCTGCATGCAAAGTTCTAGTGACTTGCATGAAGAAATAAAGAACTATTACAATAACCAGTGTAAAGAAACAGAAGAGAACAACAATAAAGAAAGAACAAGAGATCTTTCACATGGTCTCTGTGCTTCACACCCATGGGATCTAGTGTGCACGCACTGGATCGATCAGCATTGTAGC